TAAATAATGTGTAATATTTTTTGGAAAATCATCATCTATAATATTATTGTTTATTTTAATTTGTAATGCTTATCTAATAATGTAATAATTTGATAATAATGTAATAACTTGTGTGATTTATAAATAATGTGTGATATTTTTTGGAAAATCATCATCTATAATATTATTATTTATATTAATTTGTAATTCTTATCTATACTAATAAAATATTGTTTAGGGCGTATTTGTGTGTCAGATGAGATACGCAGTTTGACAGGGGTTCTGTCGTTCGATGCCACCATCGTCGCAGAACATAACTTTAGTGTGGACGAGCCAATATTTTAATGATTTATAATGATATTTTTTTTCCTAAATTATTGTACATTTTCATAAAAAATCGTTTTCATATTATATAATGTCGAAAAAACAAATTCGGTTTTATTACACGAATCTTATTTTTAATAACACAATATTAGGTGGTGCATATTAAACTTGTACATTTTATACACATAAATATATAATTCATATTGTATTTACAATGTAATTTCATAAGTTTTATGTCTTGTATATTTTTTTTTTAAACTAGACAATTGTGTACAATCTATAATATAATGGTTTACAATAAGCACAAGTGATAAAAGAATAAGCATAGAAAAGACAAAATAATAGGGTAATGGAATAAACAGGTTGATAATTACAATTATTTACATCAAAATAATTGTAAATGAATTACTATTAATAATTACAATTATTTTGATGTAAATAATTGTAATTACTAATTACCAACCTGTTTATTACATTACCCTATTATTTTGTCTTTTCTATGCTTATTCTTTTATCACTTGTGCTTATTGTAAACCATTATATTATAGATTGTACACAATTGTCTAGTTTAAAAAAAAAATATACAAGACATAAAACTTATGAAATTACATTGTAAATACAATATGAATTATATATTTATGTGTATAAAATGTACAAGTTTAATATGCACCACCTAATATTGTGTTATTAAAAATAAAACTCGGGAAATAACCGAATTTGTTTTTTTGACATTATACCTATAATACGAAAACGATTTTGTATGAAAATGTACAATAATTTAGGAAAGAAAATAGGTATATCATTGAAATATTGGCTCGTCCACACTTAAGTTATATTCTGCGACGATGGTGACCGCGAACGACGGATCCTGTCATACTGCGTATCTCATCTGAGGCACAAATATGAGGAGCGTCTAAACACAGGAATGCACCTTATGCATTTTGGGCATGCGCGTAATTTATTCTCCACTATCATGTATTCATGTTGGGCTGTTATCAATATATTATCTTATCACTATAATACGATGATATAATTATAGGAATCAAACTATTCAAAATTTAAACATGCTTTACATTTTTCTTGTGCTTCGACCACACTCATAATATCTTTTGATATTTGTATACTATCATAAATTGTATATTATTAAAAATGACTTACGGCATATCTTTACCAAATAATACATTATATATACCAGATACATTTGAAAAGTTAATAATTTTCTAAACTGAGTTGAGTCGTCTTCGTCTTGCAAACATCTGTAGAAATATTATTGTAAGTATTACGTGTTATATAAATAATATAATATAATATAATAATAATAATTAATGTGTTATAAATTATAATGATTTACAGTTTGTCATTTAATTGTTATGCTCACTTCTGAGATTCTTAAAAACATCAATTGGCATCAATGTGCCATCAATGGCATAACATGTAATACTTACAATTGATGTTTATAAGAATCTCAGAAGTGAGCATAACAATTAAATGACTGTAAATCATTATAACACTTTAATAATTATTATTATATTATATTATATTATTTATATAACACGTAATACCTACTTACAATAATATTTCTACAGATGTTTGCAAGACAAAGACGACTCAACTCAGTTTAGAAAATTATTAACTTTTCAAATGTATCTGGTATGTATAATGAATTATTTGGTAAAGATATGCCGTAAATCATTTTTAATAATATACAATTTATGGTAGTATACAAATATCAAAAGATATTATGAGTGTGGTCGAAGCACAAGAAAAATTTAAAGCATGTTTAAACTTTGAATAGTTCGATTCCTATAATTATATCATCGTATTATAGTGATAAGATAATATATTGATAGCAGCCCAACATGAATACATGATAGTGGAGAATAAATTACCCGCATGCGCAAAATGCATAATGTGCATTATGTTGTTTAGACGCTCCTCAAATATGCACTAAATAATATTTTATTAGTATGGATGAGCATTACAAATTAATATAAATAATAATGTTATAGATAATGGTTTTCCAAAAAATATTACACACTATTTATAAACCACACAAGTTATTACATTATTATCAAATTATTACATTATTAGATAAGCATTACAAATTAAAATAAATAATTATATTATAGATAGGTAATGATTTTTTCAAAAAATATTATACTTTGTTTATAAATTACACAAGTTATTACATTATTAGCAAATTAATACATTGTTAGACATATTGCCCAAGTTATTTGGAGGAGGCGCTTTTAATGGGATTCGATACCGTGATTTTCTGTTTTTGTCTAACACACTCGCGACATAGTATTTTAGATGTGTTTTTGCGAAACATACCAATTGATCTAATGAAGCGATAAGAATTCTGAAAACAGATGTGGGAAAGTCGATTTCAATTAGACTTGACGACAAATTCAAATCTGTTTTCAGAATTCTTATCGCTTCATTAGATCAATTGGTATGTTTCGCAAAAACACATCTAAAATACCATGTCGCGAGTGTGTTAGACAAAAACAGAAAATCACGGTATCGAATTCCCTTAAGTTATAATATTAAATTCTACTTATGGTCTACGGACGGGGACAACAACAGCAAAATAATTGCCTGACGTACCTCTTTGCTCTCTTCCAGAACGATCTTGGACGTACTTGTTTGCCTGACGGCAAACCAGCTATGTCCGGGCCGTCGCCCCCAGAACTTTGTAGTACATCTACTCCCTTCGTGGACACTTGCGAAGCTGTGGAATCCGGTCCGAAAAACGGGCCCCACACTTCATCGTGTTGGCCGATGACGGCCGCGCTCACCATTTCCACCACGTATTCCTTCAAATCCCCACCATCAAATTCTTCTGGCCTATCTACTGGTTCATAGTCCTCTGCTGAGTACAGAAATTCAGCTTTTGCTAGAAGCGCGTTCACTACATCCATGGGTGATACTTCAAAGAATTTATTTAACAATTCTTCATCGTATTCACGGTTCATCATCTTGTATAATTATCTTGGAGGTATATTATATAATATATGCAATATAATTGTCGGAGAACAATAAATTCTTCTTATGCAGAAATATACAGAATGATAGCTAAACGATTGTTATTAATTGTTACTATAGGTGACCCAGATAGAATATGGATATTTTTCAAACACTCGTATACATGGCAACAAAGTTGGGTTGTTTTTGTAAATCTGAAACTTTAACGGGAACGATAATTATTTATTAAATCGTCCTTTTGAGTTATACTGTTTGAGAATGCAAAACTAAACTTTTTTTATTGTTTAAATAATATCTATGATTTGTAAATTTGGGAAATAATATTAGATACTTATGGGTATAACCGAAGAAAATTAGAATATATACAAATCTAAATTTGCTGTTTTGAAAGTTAATGCGAGCTGCTGTGCCCAGTGCGATATTTAAAAAAAAAAACCGGCCAAAATATTATATAAAGATTAACCGAACTTTGAATTTTTTACTCTCTGTGATGACTGCCATTTAGATATGAGTAGGTATGATATAAATTTATTCAATAAACGGGCATTTTGATAATGTAATCAAACGTTCCTTTAAATGGTACGAAAGGATTATTGTCTAAATCTATCTTGGAACTTTGGAAGTCTATCAAAAATATTGTTGACATTTTTATTTAGTATATTTTGTTTTAATTCATATACAGTTATAGTTAAAATTGCATATTGATTTGATATTTTACAAAGTTATAAAATATAATGTTACATACTAAATCTGCATACTTCCTGGTAGTGAGACTTTTAATTAGGGATTTATTATAAATGTGAAATCGGCATTGGAAAACAAAATATTAGCTTAGCAAAACTTCTTGTACCTACAGTCGCATCGACGCATCAGTAATGCCCAGTGGCGGATTCAACTTAAATTTCAAATGACGCATTTTCATAATTAAGTACTTATCAGCTTTCACCACCTGACCACCACCACTATACCACCCATTATAACTCGTAACAAAGTTATGATATTTTAAATAAAATGTGGTCCAAATATCCAAGAGGTCAGGCCTTAGCATGTAATTCTGCGCCACAGACTGCACGGGGTGGCATCAGCGAAAAGTTGACGCAACTACGTCAAAATTGAGCCCTTCAGCTCGCCACTGGTAACATCATACTTTAAGGCAGGGGTCACAAACCTTTTCCACCAAATGAGCTACATTAAAAATGTCAAGTATCCGATGAGCTGCCACTATTTGTTTACGTATACTTTTTATATTATGCAACATAACATAATATTCTACATCGGAAACTATGTGTGTTTTTCTTCGCTTTCAAAGTTTCAAATACTATATTTGCTGTGCATAGCTAAATATTGTACTTTTGATAGTATTAAATAAATGTCTACACACAAAAAATTATCTGGATAAATTCATAGGTACAGACAACTGAAATGTTCTTCTAAGATAAATAAAAAGATGACCAGTAGATTTTAATATAGATAAGATAAAATATAATTACATTTTCATCTAGATAAGTTTCAACACTGGTTATGAGATACTTATATATTAACAAAATATTGATATTGTAAAAAATAAATAAAAACTAAAAATTATGTTTTTACAATTATGGTCATGATATCAGTATAAATTCACTTATAAGCTCACAGAAAAATCTAAATATTGCTACCATGATTATGATTATTATTATTATTATTATTTTAGTAATATTAATACTCGATTATTTATCATATTTCTGATCTCCTTGAGGATATAATAATTTCCCTTTGAATTTAATTTTTGTGGCTTTGTCTGCTTTTTTAAATTTATTGTTCATGTAGTTCATAAGGAAATGATAAGCTAGTTCCAACATAAGTACCATCAAAGAAATTAACAACCCATAACCGAACAACATTATCGTTGGAAGTATATCTTTGATAGATACACTGACATATTTCCTATTTATTTTCACAGAGTCACATGTCGGCTTGTGTGGCGTCCATCTTTGAATTAATCGTTTTCTAATTCCAACCTCGTGTTGTTGAATTAACCTTTGTATATTATAAAAGTAATACGAATAAAAATTTTGAAATGCTTATTATCTTATCACTTAAACAAAAACATACTTTTGTTTGAATACATCTTTGTGACCAGATTTCTTGACCACTGGTATGGCTAGAACAGGTAGTTTGAACAGTTGAATTTCATATAATCCACATTTCTCTTCTTCTCTCCACTTTTTATTGATGATTTGATAAGCTGACGTTTTTTCAACCTACGCAAAATAAATCAATTTTATTCGATTTCTATAACATAAATATAAATGTGTGTATATATATATATATATAATATAATATTCAATTTCAACCATAAATCCGTGGAATTCAGTGCGAATCCTTTCAATTCCCTTTTGTGCATCTGTGAACGAGTTGTTTTCATCGTATGGTTTTATTTTCATGTCATAAAGTTTTCTCAATATTTCATTTGTCGTTTCCTATAATGCATTTTGTATTTTGAAATATTATAAAACCGTCAGCTAAATTATATAATTTAAGGCATGTACACCATATTATATACAAGTGTATTAGTGTATTGCTAAATTAAATAGGTTAAGAACGTTATGTAGGTATTTAACGAGTATAGTAAAATATATGATAATATAATAAAATGTGAGATTTTTAATACCTAGTGAAACAAATATATTATTTAGAGCTTATTAATATTTATATGTTATGGTAGTAATGTTGGCACTGGTAAAATGTTAAATTTTGATTTATGCTTACGTTAAAATAAGGTTTTGCGTATGAGGCAATCTGTATACTCATTGTCATTGATTTTTCGTGAAGAAAATCTTTTACGTTATTTATTGAAGAGCTCGTTGACTGAAATAAACTCACAATTGAAGCTGAGTACGCGTTGAATAGAAAGAAGGTAGTTAGAAATAATACAAAGACCACGATTTTTATAGAATTCAAAATTAAGACAATTGTATAACCTGAAATAATTGTAAAGATAAAATCTTAAATTATATGTACTAAGTTTACAGGAAAGTATGCAGAGAGGGTTATTCGTAGTTACTAGTTATAGTAGCTAGTATATAGGCAATACCGACAGTATACCGACAATTACAACAGAAAGGATTCTCGAATACTAATTACTAAGTAGTTATATACTTATATTAGTAATTAGTAATTAGTAATAACTAATAACATATTATGTTTCAAATATGAAATAATATTTACCTTGTTGACAGATAGCACCTTGAACTAATCCAATAATGTCCAACACAGTTATCGATGGACCGCGATTTACTTTGAATTTATTTAAAAATAGAAGAATCAAGACGAATCCGATAAGCATAAGTAAGGTAATTTGCCATACTTCATACTTAAATGGTTTAATATGAATATTGGTGATACTGGATAACATCGGTTGTTTGAATAATATATTGCTCCTAAATTTAGCATAAAATAATAATACCATTATTTAAAACATTTTATTTTCTGTTACATAATTAACCTAACCTATAAATGGTAATATTCGCCAAGAAATTTATTATTAGTACCTAACTAATTGAATAATTTAATGGGGAATGGTAAACTCCTACAAATGTAGTGTAATCTCCTACAAAAGATAGTGTTAACTCCTACAAAAGATAGTGTTAACTCCTATAAAAGATAGTGTTAACTCCTACAAAAGTTAATACCGCTCGTATTGCTGTAAAAAATATCAGTCTTGCAATATATTAACACATAAAATAAAAATGGTTTGAAAAATATCATAAAAATGTTAATAACACAATAATCATTATCATTTACGTTTAAAACAAAATTTTTAAAATATAGATAATAAAAGTGTTAATAAAATAATAGTCATAATCATTTAATCCTAAAACAAAAATTATTTGAAAAATATAATAAAACAATAGTCAAAATCACATACGTTTAAAAAAAAAATTTTTGAAAAAAAATAATAAAAAATTCAATAAAACAATACTAATTCATAATCATTTACGTATATTTTTATGACTTGTTTTATCGTTATTCAACAATATTCGATGCCATATCGCTGATCTATTTAAAACATTTTGTACTGCAAATGCCGATATGAACGTATAGTAAAGTATATAATATGGATATAATCTAACCTTCGAGAATTATCATACAGCGTATAAACAAGCTCTATTCAAGCGTTTGTTTATTAAATAATGCATATTTATTATTTTCAAGTTATGATAATTTTGAGCTTTTTAACTTTAAAATTGTGAATTTAAGTAATATTACCCTATTTTTTAAAGGGAAAAATTTCTATGTAGGAGATTAGAATATCTTTGATTTTCAGGTAAAAATTTTAAAAGGTTATTAGTGTAGGAGTTTACATTTAATGATGATTCAGGTAAAAAGGTTATTCGTGTAGGAGTTTACATTTGGCCAATTTAATGATTATCACTTTGTTTAATGTAACAAACCGATATTATTATTCAGATGGTAATTACTAATTAATTAACTATTCAAACCAAACTAAACAATTATCTTCGATAACAATATTAATTATTATATATTACTCTAAAGAGACTGTCCCAACTGTAAAATCAACTGCTGTCATTCTATCAAGTCTCATTAGCGAACCAGCAGCACCAAAATCACTTTCTTCTCTTTGCAAATTACCAATTAAACCGGAGAAAGAACCATTGCCGTTAGACCAGCCGTGATCATCAGTTATTCTCATGGTATAACTAATAATGACAATAATAATAAAAATAAAAACAATGCATAAGCAATCATCAAATATCATTGCATTACTTGAAGTTCAGTTGATAACCTAAAATTTGAATCATTGGATAATGCATGTAAGTGTATACATCCAAGCCGGATGTTGTTGTCTGATTGAAACCGACAAATTCGGATGGATTAAAAATCTGTGAGAAAATAACGACAGCCAAGTGTATTTATAAAGTATATTATATTAGATTATTATGCATTTCATATAAAAAAAATCACGAATAATGTGTGGAAATAATCTTGGAGTTATCTTTACCACAGTAGTCGCTTTTAATGTAGCTCCCCGAAAATTCATTCTTAGTTCAGTCGAATCGTTTATTTCTATGTTATATTTTGATGCCAAACCGGTTTTGAAAACTCGAACAGTATCCAATTTACTTGCTCGGAAACCACTCCAAATCTCCCAAACATTATTTCCGATTTTTTGAAACAAGAACACACCAGAATCCGGTAAAACGTAGGATTTACCCAAGTATGTCTCAAAAACAATCGAAGCAATCGTCAAGGTATCACTTGTGTTTGAAATTGATTTTTGGTTAAACAATAACCAGTCGTTTTGCAAGTTGAATAATCGATCGTTTGATACCTTAACATTTATTATCAATAATCATCATTAAATCCACATAATATGAAGGTACTCGTTTTTGAGCTTTATAACAGTATTATATATTATCCACAAATGTATTATAAATATTAAATGGTATTTATTTTATTTTAATTATATGGACTGTGCCCTTTTGGACATACAGCCTTACACATTTGTGATGACAGAAGTCACTACCTACAAATAGTAATTAATAATAATATATAATTACAATTTACAATAACTTATAGTATAGAAATTACACATGTTTCGATTAATAATTCGTTAAGGCAGAATTCGCATGTACGAACGACATAGACGTCTTAAAGGCTCATCAGCCATATAATTGGTGGTGGCATGTGACAGATAGAAGAGGCCAGTGGAACGAGATGAACGAGAAGGAACTTTGAAGGAGATTAGAGACAGAACTACATAAGGACGGGTGAATAGATATTATTGTTTAACAGGCCAGCAAGGGATTTAATACCTGCGATACGGCGACGTTCAGCTAAAGAGGTGAGTAGCAATCGGAGTGTAGTTATGATGCATATAAGGTATAAAGTGTTTTCACTTGCGTTGAACATGCTCAATTTGACTTGCACTGTCGGCAGTATGAGGATCCCATACTACTGCCCCGTAACAAACATTTTTATATTTCATAATAATTGTTAATAATATAATATTATCATTTAAATTGAATAATATTTAAAATGAATCTGCCTTTTATAATTCGGTTCTCCGTATTTAATAGTTATTTAAAAAATTATTTTATCGATAATACTTATAAAAACTATTAAACAACTACATTAGGTATTTAAATATGTCAAAAACAAAATAAGACATAAGTAATACTATATATAGAAATAATTATTAATTATTACAACAAAATAAATAATAACTTATTATAGAGAGTAATTTTGATCTCTCAAAATATCACTGTTAAATAAATAGGTAGGTATGACAAAAACAGGAGTATTACCACAGAAATTTAGTATACAGGTATAACAAAAATAAGTATGAATTTACATTTTATAATAATTAATTTTATTTCTAGGACTTTTCACAGTTCCGATAAATGTTTTGGACACCAGGTCAACCTTTGCAAAACCTTGAAGTCTGGAGACACTAGTTTACATAGCCCCATATATAAAATAATTATATGTAACTTTGGGTAACATATATAGCTGCACGTCGGTATCCATGGTAACAATACAATATAATATAGAGTACATGGTAGGGGGAGGGGACTAGATGAATAATTTGTTAAGGGTCCTCAGAATCTAAAAACCACTTAAAAAGTTTTTATCAGTAATTGAACTGTATATATATATATATTATAATTTAATATGTACTTATTTTGAACGAAATTACTCATTCCTGCTAAAAATATTAACTTAATTATATATAATAACTTATTCTTAATGGTTGATAACTAATAAACTATTACTGGTTAATAGTAAGTATACAGGATTTTATAATAGAAATTTGAAATTATTATAATGTTTTTTCACTTCTAGTATTTCTCCCGAGAATTTCCGCGAATTCCAAACCTAGTCATTATTATTTTTAACTCAATTAGGAATTAATTAATTAATTATATTAATATTAATAGTATTATATTCGGTTAATTAATATAAATTTAAAGTGATTAAACTATATATTATAATATACAAAATATATATGTGGGTAAAAACCTTATGCAAGAAGTTTAGTGTCCCATCACAAGACAAATCAACTATGTATCCGTGTCTATACCAGGTGGCGTATGTTTGAGGGGTGAATAAACAAAAACTCAAAGATTTGTCGATTGTCGAAAACGTCTTTAATAATTCTTCGTTTACATCTATCAAATATAATTAACCGATTTTAAAGTGACTTTTCCAATATAATATTGTTTCACAAAAATGTGAATCATAGTCTTTATTATTATTACCTGTAGGCCAACATGTAGCAGCAGTAACTGTTTGGATATGTCTTTGGATAAAAAAGTTCGATATAACTTTTATTAAATCACTGTGCTCGTCAACATCGTCTTGGTATGTAAATTGAATGATCAAAACTAAAAATAATATTAAGTATTTAATAGTAATTTTGAGCATATTGTTCGTTAATTTCCTATTTCGATTTTAGTTAACTTATAATAAACCTTCGTTGTATGGTAGTTTATATTTTTATAATTGAGTATTATACTATTTAAGGTTATTACTTGTCAATATAATATTCCCATCGATAATGTCCACAAAACTAAACTGAATTATAAATTATTGGCAAACAATACATTATAATTTCATGTCTATTTGTTTTTTGCAAACTTTATTAATTCACCATAATTGTTTCCAATTTACGAAAAACATAACTGATTCGTGAAACGAAATGTTATAATATTCTGTTTTGGTTTCAGTCTATGAAATAAAGTAGGACAAAGGCGAGTAAAGGACATCTAGCATTTGCATATTTGTTTTGCGCTATTGTACACAAAAGCCAATTAGATACAAATTTGTTTCGACAAATTCAAATCTGTAATTTAATATTGAATATTTGTACATATTTATGTGTTTATGCTTTTTGAGGTATATTTGGCATATTTCTTTATTTTTTTCAATTTTTTTTTCAAAACGTTTATTATCAAAACGACAATCTATTACCTATTAATTTAAAGGCAACCACATAATGCCGCGTGTACACGCACACCAATCACAGAAGTAGATATAAAAAATTAATTAACAAATCAATTAATTAATGCAATTGAGTATTTCCTAATCAATAAAAAATAAAGTTAGTTTCATTTAGAAAACAAAAAAGTTTTGATGTATTTGGGAATAGTATGAAACATATAAATAATATGTATATAATAGGTAATATTGTGTTTTCTTATTTTAAATGCTTTTTATTAATTTAGCCTTAAAAAAAATGTAAGAGAATATTTTAAAATTTTTATGTGAAAACATGCTTGCTAGTCGTCTGTCCTAATAATAAAAAGATAATATTATAGTTGTCACAAGTTATTATTTAGCCATCGTTGGGGACCGTTGTGTATGTGAGCGGTCATAACATCTAAATTTGTTACCTACAGTTATATTTTAGTTGTATTAAAATTTAAAATTATGTACATGGTATATATGTTATGAATTTATGATGACATAATTTATGAAGATAATTTAAACTGTAAGAAGTGTAAATAATGTTTTAATTTCAACTGCGCAAATTTTCCAGAAGAAAAATTTCAAAAAGTTGTGTAAAACACTAAAACAGCAGTCATGCTCAAAGTGTAACTCAGAGATTACGAAAGCTCTAACTTAGTAACTTAGTACCGAGTTAGTAACATTTCTATAACAATTCTCACGGAATCTGAGTAATGTATGAGTTCCCAGGTCGAATCTTTCCTGAAACAATTAAAAGTTCTTATTTCTTCAGATGATGTTTCAAGAAATAGAAAACTCAAGAATTCGTGAATATAGAACCTAAGGAAAAATAAGTTATTTTAAATAAACATTATACACATTATAATTATTTTGGAAGATAGTTCTATAGAAGGTTATGTTTACATATAGTATTTATATATATGTATATTAGTGTGCCACTGTACTGGTTATTGATAACTGATAAAGAAGATTCCGTAAATAAAATTGATTCTATTCTAAATAAAAGTTACCTGATACCTAAAAAAAAATTCTTTGCTTGTTTTGAGTGTAAAAACCCGAATAGGTTGGAAGCTATTCTGGTTTAAAGAGATAAAAAAACATCTTAGTTAGTTCTGCCAAAAATCAGAAATTAACCTTACAATAGGGATTGGAAAAATATGGGTGATAAAATTAAAGTTTAAGAAGAACTGCAATGATTGATTATGAGTATATTATTATGTTATCAACAATAGCTTAATCAATCACTGATTGAATTATTATTTTTTACTCTAAGTTATATTACTTTATTCGCTGTTATTATTCTAATAAACATTGCAGATAAGTAGTAGTTTTAAAAATTGAGTACTTATTTTATAATACTTAATATTTCCTTAATTTATCAGAATTTACGAACAGATTTAATCTATTTTGATGATTCATCAATTTTGATAATAATTATTTATCTTAGGAGTGCTAATTTTGATGAATTAATAGTGTATAAAAAAAATATTTATACATAATTTGTATTAACAGAAACCTGGCATGATCCAAAAAAATGTATTCATAATTTACTCGGGTATAAATCAATTTATTTAACTATGAACAGAAACCATAATGTTTATGGCAATATATGGCGATGCTTTTCCTAAAAACCATTTAAATATTGTAAATTTGTTTATTTTATACTTCATAAAAATAGTGTAAGTACTACTATTTGACAATTACTTTACCTAGTACAGAACAATATAATAATATTATAACATTATTTTCTATGGAAAGTAAAGTTATAGAATGTACTATACCGTATATAAACAAAGATCCATGTTATTTTTTAGGTCAAGGTATATACAATAATAACTCCCCAAAGTCCTTGTATTATTATATAGGTACCCTAAATTTCTTTGAGCTTCGATATTGACTTATATAACTATTGTTAATATTTTTTTGCCCCTTCTATTTGGTAAATATTTAAAACATTTACCTAACAACATGAATTAAAAGGGTTCACTTCTTATATATTTTGTAATTAATTTAACAATACAATTTTAATGCAATGCTATTCACGCCGTAATGTCTGCAGTTTGAAAACAAGTTTGACTTTTTTTCCCCTATCTTATCGTTTTAGTGTTTACTAGCTGTTTAACACATAAAAAATATCAAGTAACGATATACCTAGATACTTATTCATTTTTCCAAAAATGACTAGTTTAAAACGGTAACAAACGACAAACATTATACATAATATACCTACTTAATAACTTTATTAACTATTTTTGACATATTATTCTTAGAGTTACATAAATAAAAAAAAAAAAATCATTATACAATAGTTGACTGATGCTACCATAATACATTATTCATTTACTTTAGTTTCATATAGTTGTGTAAACCTATGTAATAGCTGTACACGCTTTATAATGCATTAATACTTTTTTTTTTCAAACGGCTGTTAACACAATATAATATAAAATATAGATACTATATAGGTTTACTGAAGAAAACACTGTCGGCAAGCTCAAGACAAATTTTACATTGATAAATATTATAACAAAGGAAATTTTAATCATTTAATTCATAGGTCATACAATTAAACTTAATCCTGCACAGATAATGATTGAAAATAATAAACATGATATTACAAAATATGTTGTGATACTATTAAGCAATACTTGTACTTAAAAGGCTATCGTTTATTATACATAAAACGAAAAATACTGAATAAGTTTGTATTGCTCTGCAGATTTTCACTCCGGTCAGTGTAAGTGTTGTATGCAATTTCAAAAAACAGAATTACGATCGAAATGCATAATCCAAACCCATATATCTGAAGCATGGGATATATTTCTTTTATAGAAACGCTGACAAACTGATTGGCTCGATTTGAAGAATCACACATCGGCTTTGCAGGTATCCATCGTCTTATGATTCGATTTTTAAGTCCGACCTCTTGTTGATGTATTAATCTTAAATGTCGTTAGTATTAGTGATAATATTATTTTAAGGTTACACATAAGTTGGAAATAAAATGTACTTATGTACATTTATATATAACACGAATGGTATACCATATAATATTTCTGCAGTTTAAACTTTATTCATATAATATAATAACAATGGTAGTTGTATAACTTACTTTTGTTTTAAAATATCTTTATACCCAGATCTTTTAACCACTGCTAATGCGAGCATTGGCAATTTGAAAAGTTGAATCTCCGATAAACCACATTTTTCTTCTTCTAGCCACAATTGGCTAATTAACTTGTATGCTGATACAAAATCAATCTTGAAAAGATAATAATAATATGTTAAATATATTTAAGTACGCTTCAGACTTACACCTCGTTATATTTTAATATGACTCAACTGACCATAAACCCATGAAACTCTGTTCGAATTCTAGCTATGCCTGCAGATGCTAATGTAAACTTTTGCGTTCCGTGAGGTTTCATTTTTTTATCATAAAGTTTCCGTAAAAGTGGATCGTCCGTTTCCTATAGTTAATTAAACTACACTCATAAGGATACACAAACATACATTATTATAGCTATATGTGACATTTATTTAGGTAAAAAATTACATTATTAAAAAGAACATACAACGCATTACATTTTAAATATGAAAATTGAATGAATTTACAATCTTTTTGAGTTGCGCCGTGAAGATTAGAAATATAGAAAAATGTAGTATCACATTCCAGTTATAAGAGGTAGTTGGTGGGGAGGGGATATAGAAGATAATATAGGCTCAAATCAAATTAATATTTCAGCTTTTAGAATTTAATATAATTCCATAATTGTAATATAAAATAATAGTAAAGAAAGAAATCTAGAAAAAAATAAACTATTAGGTAGGTACCTTAAAACGGTTTTACTCTGGATACTTAATTAAATAATTTACATTACTATTTTCAAATGTTTCATTTTTAATCGTCTAATCTGGAAATTTAATTTCCCTCCAAGAAAGATGAAGGCATGTTTTATGTTCAATCGGTAAACTTCCGCATACTGAAGGACTTTGAAAGTTTAAGACCTTGAGAGTTCGACATGTCCAAATACTATATTTTTGGATTATTAATCTTTTCCCGTTGAATTATTATAGTTGTATATATTGTATTGGTATTAAGTGGGGTAAAACATTCATTCTACCCCCCCCCCACAAATATGTATAAAACGTAGACCAAAGTTGGGTATAATATATTAAGCACTAATGTCAAAACGGATAAAATAATATTTCGTATTTAGATTGGTTATGGCTCGAATCAATTTTCTATCTCACTTTTGTTTTATTTCAGCATGAAATTCATCAATAATATGCAAAATCATTAAATGACAGACCTGACAATAACATTTTTATACCGACTATATATGTTTTAGGTGTAGTATTATCACCTATATATTTGCAAAATATGTCACGTATCTGACTCGCCGGCCTGTTGTACCTAAATAAATACTGTTATATGCTCGCATAAAACGTAATAC